TGGTGATCACATGGCTCAAAGACATGATCTTTGTCCACATTGTGGAAAATATTATGACATTAATTTATTCACTGTTTCAAAATAAGACCGGATTTATTTATCAGTCCAGTTCGTTTCGACTTTCGAGTGGACATCGAACCGATTTATCTATCAGTCGAGTTCGTTTGGATAAAATATTTATTTGTAAATCAATCAACACCAGTTCGAGGATTTAATATGAACTAGTATCGTGCCCTGTGCAAATGCACGAAACTATTCAACATAAATCAAATAAAGAAATATAAATAGAATAATTAATTTTTATATACAATTAAATAGATTTTATTTCTCATCATATATCAAAATCTTGTGTCTTTTCTATTTGTAACTCAAAAATCAAGAGTTTGTAGGAGCTAAAAGGCTAAAAGTATATTCTTATTATATATATTCTTTTTTTAATAGAACAAATTGACATAATATTAGGTTTAATATAAAAAAAATTTAATGTTGGAATATCTGTTTATAAATCATTATCTTGAAGAATCCAACATTATGTCGATATGTCTATTATAACTTCTTATTGAATATAATAAACCAACAAAATTTTCAAAAATTGGCAACATGCGTTGGCCAGTTAGAAATATAATCAAAATATTTCGGAAGGTTTGATTATCAAAAGTTAATGGAATATTTCATAAAAAACTTTGTTCATGGTAAACATTGGTCCGTGTATGATTTTATTTTCACATTTATAAAGTTTTTCGAATTGCAAATACACTAATTTTGGTTGTTTATGAATAATTCATTTGTTCTTTTATAAAAAAAATTATATATATATATATATATTTATATATATGTATATGTGTATGTATCATAAATTGTATTTTTTTTTGGGTTGAAACTTCGTTTATAAATGGATTATTTGATTTTATTCTTATGTTGTACCAAAATACAAACGACCAAAAACTTCTTTTTATAAATAATGATTAACTTTTTTTTTTCTTGTTCCTTAAAAACTTTGAACATATGTTCTGTCTTTCTCCCTCTCTGTCTCTCTCACTTCAAAATTCATGGATTTTCTCTCAAAATTTCGTTGATACTTAAACAATAAAGATGCTTCTCTTTATTTGTTCAATATGTTATATATATGTTATATGTCTGAACCACTATATGGTGTACATAATTGATTTATTTTTCTCAGTATTATGTTATGTTATCATGTTAACATCATTAAAATAGAAATTAAAAATTGAGGTTTTAAATATTAGCAGTTGTATCATGTGAACATATATGCAAACTCAGTTTGCTAGTTTATCAAAATCGTGGTGGTTATGGGACTCCAACTTCTCCACGATTTCAACAGTACTAATTCACTTATCTAAAAACTGAAAATATATTTTTGCATTATTGATATGTAGGATGGTCTTTTATCCAAATTCTTGTTATGCTTTAATATTTTCGTTATATATATATAGATATATATATATATATATATATTTATCCTGTTAGCATTCTAAACATTTTGTTTTGCAGGTATAAATACAATCTCAAGTTTTTTTTTTTTAATTAAAGAAAACATCATTTTAGAAGAAAAAACCCTTCTAATGGCCTGTGTGGTTATGTATTCTATTATTTTCTATACATGTAATTACAATTTTTTAATGTAAATAAAACAATTATGTAAATAAGTACCATATTATTATCTAGTATCTTCATATTTTTAGGAAGGTTATAAATATAAATTATTATTTAATACATATCATAAATAGTTCACAATGATTCAACATGTTATGTATATGTAAAAAGAAAATTACTTTGATATTAATGAGAAATCAAAACATAAAAAAATATTTTAAACTTCCTATCTATAAATGAAAAAAAAAAATTAGGTTCACTTTTACTATTAAACTATTATTAAAAATGAAAAAAAAAAAATTAACGCGAGGTGACATTTAATAAAATAATAAAAAAGATTGAAACTCACTTTCTATAAATAGTAATATGATGAGGGACACACTAAAATACGTACTATTTTTAGTAAGTGTGTTGCTTAATTATATAGTAAATAGATAATAATACATATTAATAAATTAAATTTTGTCCAACCAATAATGTATTAAATAAATAACTTGATCGGTTCAATGATGGTCCGGTTTCGAGAAACTTTGATTTACCATACATTTATAAAAGTTGTACATAAATATTAATAAAATAATATATAAATATTCATAACTCATTGAACTGATTTTCATAAAATTATTCTTATAGTTTGGATTACATTACATTTATCATAAATAAAGTATTTATATATTAAAGTTTCTATTCAGTTTCAATAATCGGGTTGGTCTGCCAAAACTGACACATGCCCAAGAATTAACCCTAGTTGTGTCATGATTTTGGACTATTTTAAATATCACCTAAAAGTAATTTAATCAAATTAAACAGTAACCTAGTCAATCATCCTATTGATCCAATAAAATGTTCTTACTTTTCCTTAAATATATTAGTTAAATGAAATAATTCATGTAACAAATGTTTATAATAAATAAATATGTTCTGATCGTATATTATACATCTAAGGTAAATGAATTCTTACTTTATGTATATTTATAAAACTTATGCTTTTAAAGAAAGATTATTTTCGATAAAATATGCAATGCTAAAAAGAAAAAAATAATCAGTATAATTTTCTTTTTAGTAGCTAAAATTTTTAGTGAAAAACTATACATACCATAAATATTATTGGCAAACTGAATTATGTGGATGGCGTGGATATACAATTTTTTTTTAGTAGCTAAAATGTTTAGTGAAAAACTACACATACAATATATAATACTGGCAAACTGAATTATGTGGATGGCGTGGATCTGTAAGGATCAAATTACCTGATCATTAGCAGAATAGATGGATTTATAAAAATGATTTTTTAAGGCAACTCTTGTCTCTACTCTAGTGTAAAGTTTAAGTTAAATAAAAATCAAGTTTAATCTCCAATTGTTCGATCTATCCATATAAAATATCTTTTTTATCCTCTTTGTTTTAAATTATTTAATTATCAAAATATAGTTAAATTAGATATATTATTTCAAACACATTTAATTATTTAAATTATCATCATACACTTAATAAAAATACAAATATAAATAAATAAAACAATATTTATATAAAGATTATTTTATTTACGGAATGTATCTAGTATTTACTAAAATATTAACTAAGTTTGATGAAATTATTAAATTTGTAATCTAAGTCGTTGATTAAATTATGATTTTTGTATTTATTATACACACTTTGTCAAGAAAGCACAATATTTTACCTCAAGGAAAATAAAAGAGAAAATTGATACATTTCTAAAGTTATATTATAAATTTAGTGGTTTTTATTAACACATATTTTAATGCATTTTTTTATTACTATATAACGTAAATGCTAAATAATTCCATTTATTTTAAATTTTCAATATAAATTTTTTACCTTTACGAGGTCGGGTTCCTGACGCTGGACCGATAAGAATTGTGTTACTATGTAATGTATATTTTACATATTTGTTATCTGGTCCTCGACCAGTAATTGTGTTACTATTTAATGTATATTTTATATATTTGTAATTAATTACGCTCTAACTTCAGTTTGAAAAATCTATATTAATTGTTTATGTAAATTTTATATATTTGTAAATTACTCAACTGAATAAAACATGTCAAATTTGTAAATATATATATATATATATATATTTCTTTCTTTATCCAATGGAACAAGTTAATGTGTTCGCATTAAAATAATTTATACATTTTTGCATAGTTGGGGTGCACTAATATTATATTCAAATAGATAACCGTATATAATTTGTACAATAATAATAACTTATATAAAACTATCTTCAGTCCCCAATTGTAAAAAGATTGAATGTCTATATATTATTTCCTACTCCATTAATGTTAGTGTCCAGCAGCACAATGGTCTCATGGCAGAGTCTCAAACCACCAAATTTGTGTACAAATTTGATCAATGAACAAAAGATACATAAAATGCACAACAAAAATCAAGAGTTTTTCCAATCCTAAAAGTACTCGAACTCAACATAAGAAGCATCGGTCGAGTTGCTTTTGTTCCCATCACCCGACACATCAGCGACTTTCCTGTCCGGACCACAACTCGAGTCTTTGCTAGTGTACTGAGCGAAATCAACGGGCTCCGGCACATGAGGTGGGGCCGCGCTTCTCACGAGAGCCCAATTCACGCCCTCAAAAAACGGGTGCTGCTTGATCTCGGTTGCTCCCCTTTTGTACGCAATCCTTCTGTTAGGCTCCTTCACCAAGAGCCCCTTGATAAGGTCTCTTGCGTTGGGACTCACCTGTCGTAATAAAGTCAACACATTACTTAAATTTGTCAGATCTAGAGCTGCAAACGAGTCGTGCCTCGAATATCATTTCAAGAGGCTCGTAAGCTCGACAAACCGCTCGACTTTTTATTTACATAAATACCACATATACCCCATATAGTTTAATTATCAATATTAGAACACCAACCCAATGCCAAAATTGTCTATTTAGATTGAAACCTTTATATTTATATTTTAGTTGTTAAAATTTCGAGCCGAACTCGAGCCGTCAAGCATCCAGTCGAGCTTGATCATTCTTATTTTTTACGAGTCGAGTCGAGCACCATTTTACATGGCTCGTCAAGCTCGAGCAGTGAAGAAAAAAAAAGTCCGATCTGCCTCGACCATGTCCATGCTCGACTAGACTCGACTTGAGTCGTTTGCAGACTACTCAGGTCTACACACACACCCACCAAAACAAGACACTCACATGTGGACTTTCAGGAAACTTCAACGGTTGGCCGACGACGTTACAAAGTGTGGCCCGATTTCCCAACCCCTTGAACGGCGTTGTCCCGAGCAAGAGCTCGTATAGGAAGACCCCAAACGTCCACCAGTCCACCGCGCTCCCATGCCCCTCACCACGGATGATCTCAGGGGCAAGATACTCGTGGGTCCCAACGAACGACATGGAACGAACATCCGTGGGCTCCGCCATGAGCTCGGGTAGGGAGTTCGCCCCATGGCCTCCGAGGCCCGATACAGATTTGGACTTCCGATTCTTTTTGGTGGAGAGGAGAAGCGGGAGGAAGCCTGTTGGCTGCATGCACCCACGCAGTGCACTGTCATCTTCCGACAGGAGGCCGCCACTTGTCCTGTTTATGTTGTGAACGGATGAGGATTTGACGAGTGTTGGGCTGACCGAACAACGTAGGGAGAGGTCAAAGTCAGACAGCATGATGTGACCCTCTTCGCGTACAAGGACATTCTCGGGTTTCAAGTCGCGGTATACAATTCCTAGCATGTGGAGGTACTCGAGTGCCAGCAAGATCTCTGATGCGTAAAATCTATCAAAGGTTCAGAGATTGGGGAAAAGAAAAAAAAAAAA